AGTGCTACGTGGCGGACGTGTGCTGCGCAAGCGTGCATGTTGCGGAGCCTCTTTTCCCCTCGTCAAAATCGGAAGCGGCGCGGGTTGAGAGGCCCGCGCTGTTTGACCGCGAGTGCCCTTTCTTGATTCCCCCCGTGGCCCCCTCTTAGGTTCTCGGAAAGGGCAGTTGGTGCTCATTTTCGTTCTCCTCCTCCACAACCTGTTTTCTTCCTTCTCGTCGGTTCCACGAGAGCGGTCTTCATCGCCTAGTGCTAGTAGAGACTCTGACTGGCCGCGATCGTGCGTGGTCGCGTTCATCTTAGCTCCTGCTTCCTTAACGCGAGCATCGTTAGCGGACCGTTCTCCAAGATCCCCCGTTCCTGTAGTCGGTCTTCATCGCCTAGTGCTAGTAGAGACTCTGAGTGGCCGCGATCGCGCGTGATCGCGTTCATCTTAGCTCCTGCTTCCTTAACGCGAGCATCATTAGCGGACCGTTCTCCAAGATCCCCCGTACCTGTAGTCGCGCGGTTGAGGTGGTACCAGTGATGAACCGCGAAACGAAGGCGCTTAGAGCTGGGTCGATGGCGGCCGCCTCATGTCCGGCCGTCATCTCTGTTGCGGGAGCCACGGTGGAACTCCCCCCCGAACAGTGGAAGCTGCTCGCTGATGACAAGCATCCGTTCACGGCCCGTCTGTTCGACTTTGTCGCAAGGTGAGATCCTTGCGTCCCAATCCCTGATTCCACAGTGCACGCGTTGTTGTTGGTCGCGTTCTTTAGGATGCTCGCGACATGACCGCAGTATGTATAGTGGACTGTGTATGTCGCGTCGTTTTCCCGCGGTGCTTATAGGTCGCGCTGTTTGTGTCCGAGCTTTCCCACGCGGTGTTTTACCTCTACCCGCACATCGTCATTGTCCGGAGGTTTTTGGAGAAAGAGGTGCATGCGCATGTCAGGATCGTGACGAGCGATGTGGTCGCGGACATCGTCGCGGGTCGCGATGAGGCGGTCAAGGCCTTTGCCGGTGTGATGGAGTGCAGCCTGGTTGCTTTCTGCATCTGGGCCGAGTGAGTGTTTATTTGGGAGTGATCACTGCTACGGGGTACGCACTCGATTGTGTGGTTTAACGCTGTCGTCAATGTAACGTGCAGGGACTTGTCTGACAAGAAGTGCTCGAACGCGAGCATGCTCATTATGCTTCACCCCGACCACCTGTCGACTGACGGTGACGAGAATTGGCACACGCGGTTCGTCCGTGTTGCTATTCCATCTGGTGGACGGGAACACGTCACCGCGGCCGAGGCGATTGTGGAGTGAGTACCGCGTACAAGTGTATCATCATTACCATGATCATCTCCGCTACATGGCTCACGTCGCTAACCGTGCGTTCGCGTTGCTTTGTTTGTGCGTTTGGGCAGGTGGTTTCAGGGTCGCGTGGACGAGGAGTTTGCTAGCGGCTCCATTCAGTGCACCCGGTCCAGCCAGCTTAAGGATCCCAAGCGGCTGTACGATATGGTAAGTCTGTGTTGTTTACGTGTTCTCGTTGGCCGCGAGTAGTGGCAACCGTGTTAACGAAACCAGGGTGCTGATTCCCAGGACGCTACGTTATTGAAGGGCTCCTGTGGCAACCTCGCTTGTCTGTTCGCGTTCGACAAGATACTTGCGCAGCTGGACGCGGTTGCTGCCAATGGAACCGGGCCGCAATTCTCGAGGCCTACCGCGAAGACTCTGAATGCACTGCGGCATGAGGCCCACCAAACCGCCGAAGAGCTCGCGTTCAACTTGAGCGTGGATTTGCCGCGAACCAAACACGGCGGTGAGGCTGATGGGGCTGAAACGGGGAACATGCAGAAAGTAACAACGGGTGCGCGGGTTGCTGACCATGGTGTTCCCGCTCTCACAGGTGCCGCTGGTGTATCGAGCCGCGGAGGTGCTCGCGGGGGGACGGTGGTCCACGGTGATGACGACGAGGCAGAGGATACCGCGACCAAGGGTGCACCCCGCGATGAGGCTGACCGCACTGCAGCGGGTGAGGGGGAGGAGTCGAGCGAGGAGGAGGCGGGGGCTCACGTGGTCGCGGCCGGGGCAGCCAACAGGCCCACCACGTCCGGCAAGAGCATCAGGCACCTCGCGCAGCACTTGGCACCCGGTGCTGGAAGCGCGGGACCGAGTGGTGAGGTCGCGGGCAAGAGTCCCGTGACTGGTGCCCGTGATCACAAATCCCTGTCCGCGTTGCCATCGCACAAGCTAGCAGCCGAGATCCTGCAGCTCGACTGCAGGCTTGCAGCGCAGGCGGAAGAGATCGCACGGCTGAAGAATCGTCAGGAGTCGGTGGCTGGTGGGGTGGCGGTCGTGGGCTCCGAGGAGATCGCGACCGCGCTTGCTCATGCGGTGAGGCTGTTGGAGAAGGAGGCGAAGGCGGTCGCGTTCGAAAGGGCGGCGCTGTGCGATACGCGCAACCAGGAGGCCTTGGTCCTGGGGCGCGTGGACGCGAGGTTGGGTCAGCTGCAGGGGGTGGTGGCAGACTCCCTCGAAACCGCTCAGAAGAAGTTGACCGACGAGGTTGCCCGGAAGATCGACAACATGTCGACCGCGGTGTCCGCGACAGCCGAGCGGGCAATCACAACCAGCGGGGTCACCAACGCGCTGCACACCCTCATCGCGCTCGTCGGAGGAAGCCCACCCGCGCGCACGGACAATGGTGAACCAGCCGCGACGGACACTGCCGAGCCCGGGGATGCTGAGCATGGAAAGCGGGCGGCGGGTGTGAAGGGCGAGAGTCAGCGGGGCCCGAAGAGGCAGAGGGGTCCACAGGCAGCGGCCGCGGTGCGCCACCCGAGCGTGCATGACATTCTCAAGAACAAGTGGGGCGCTGCATCGCGAGGAGCTGTACCGCCTGGTCAACCTGGGTCGAGCTCGCGCTCCATCCCACCTGGAGAAGCCGCACCCATTCCACCGGGTCCTGCCGGGGCAGCCGCGACAGTGACAACCGCTGTGGGTAAGGGCAAGGGTAAGGTGGAGGAGGGAGAGGTGCCGGCCGCTGCGGGTTCGCTGGCCGCGAGGCGTGAGGGGCAGTCCGCGGCGGCTGCTGCGGCGGATGGAAGGCAGACCGCTCTCGCACCCGCTCTTCCCGCGATCACCGCAGGACATCTGCACAGCGCGCTGGCATCTGCAGGTCCGAGCGCGGCCGCGGGTGAGGCCAAGACGGAAAAACGAGGGCGAGGCAAGAAGTTGCCCCCTCCACCAGTGTACACCATCGACGAGGACGATGCGGACGAAGAGCTCGAGAATCTCGCGAGCCGGTGGGTCGGGGAGGAGGGCGACGGAGGAGAGCAGGGTGTGGTGGACGCGGTCGAACTTCATAGCGGCGGGGAGAGCGCGGACGAGCAGGACGAAGACCCCGTGGTCGTGCCAAGTGGCCCAACGGGGGGACAGGGTGACACAGTCAGCAAGCGCAAAGGCTGTGGTATCCGCCATCCTCCCAGGGGCGGTCCTGGCTTGGTTTCTGAACCGCATCTGGGGGGGGAAAAGCGGTGGCTTGGACAAGGCGACCGCGACGACCTGCAGTACAAGACCGCAGTCACGATGATGCCATACGACCTGAAGGTGGATCCCGGGCTGCACCTCAGCTCTAAGCAGATGCGGGAGTGGGCCGCGGACCTGTCCGCTGCCGAGGGGCTACACACGGGCCTCCTCATCACCATGCATCACCGCAACCTCGTGGCCAGCAGGGAAAGGTGAGCGGTACCATACCACATTATCTAGCGCGTTCATACGGTCGTGTATGTTGGGGGTGCGGGGTTGGTTTATCGTGTTCTGGCCGCTACACCCACTGCGTGGCAGGTGGACCCGCATGTTCAAACACTACCACGAGCTGACCCAGCCCGGGTCGACCACCACCAACGAGATTGCATGGGCCGCGGTGGTGGGCACGGAGGCTGCTGCAGAAGAGACGAAGCTCTACCGCGATGTGGATCTGAGGGATTACGCGGGAGCGATCGCGTGCGCGATCGCAATGGTGTGGGAGCTGACGCGCGGTTCTGCGGTCTCGACCGCGTCGGATTCTGGCAATTTGGCCGCGCGAGCGGTTAACTGCCAGAGGGATCGATGCCGTCTGTTCCCCGTTGTAACCGCGTACGTCATCAGGGCTGTGCGGAGGCGCAATTCTCGCGAGAAGCAAGCTGGTGACGACGAGACGAAGGTAGTCGCGGATCCGAAGGTGGTCGCGGAGGCGATTGCATCTGAAGTCGTGAACGACGTCGTCGCCAAGTCTCGCGACCTCAGGCACATTGAGATGGCTGCTCGCGAAACGGTGGACGTTATCATCACCTGGTGCGACTGCTCGGTTACAGGGAAGGTCATGGAGGCCATTGGGCTTTACCTTGCCCTGCCCAAGGATCGTCCGAAGAAGCGGACCTGAGTGCGTGTAGTGTCGCGTCGCGTGTGCGCAGCCTGTCCACCCTGCTTGAGTTCTACTCGCGGTGGATTGTTGTTCATGTTGCGGACATGTGTGCATGTAGTATAGTGTACGCGCGCGCGCGTGTGTGTGTGTGTGTGTGTGTGTGTGTGTGTGTGTGTGTGTGTGTGTGTGTGTGTGTGTGTGTGTGTGTGTGTGTGTGTGTGTGTGTGTGTGTGTGTGTGTGTGTGTGTGTGTGTGTGTGTGTGTGTGTGTGTGTGTGTGTGTGTGTGTGTGTGTGTGTGTGTGTGTGTGTGTGTGTGTGTGTGTGTGTGTGTGTGTGTGTGTGTATTAGCGTGAGACCATAGTGTTGACATTTGGAACAATATGTGCTTGAACACAGAATCATGACTACCGCGGAGATTACCGCGGACGTGTACCGCGAACAAAAGCTCGTCAACATTCTTGGTCAGCAGCACGCACTTTTCGAACGCGATTCAATGGGAAACACACACATGTCGTACGTTGAACATTAAAGAACCATTGGTCAACACTCATCCTACATTACACACACGACGCGAAGTGAACAGCCTGACAAACTATGTCCCGTGATCGCGATCTCAAGCACTAAGCTAGCGGAGGCATCTGGGCACAGTACTGAGGCCACGCGGTCGGGAACTCTGACGCGGGAAGAGAGGCATCGATGAAGCGGTCGCGTACAAGCATCCATTTCACCCGCAACTGCACCTCCGCCGGGGAACCCTTCTTCAGCTCGCTCAGGTTCAGGTCAACACTCTTCTTCTTCACCGCGATCCCTTCCGACACACCCGACATGCCCACAGCTTGAGACACGAGGTCGAGCTTGTCGAGCACGACCGCGATGTTGTCTCCCTGCTCCACCCTGCGGGAGATGAAGTCCATGACTCGCTTTACACGGTTTATCGCGTTCTGGCCGCCTCCCTCCTTCCCAATCAGCTCGGCCATTCGCGTAACTGCACCGCGGGGTTGGGCCAGGAGCGACTCTGGACTCTCGCCGACCAGCGCGTGCGTGGACCTGTACAGCTTCCATCCGTCCGACGGCTTGGTCGCGTTGACCCATGGTTTCATGATCGCGTCTTGAATTGTCTCTTCCCTGGTCGGCTGTGCTGGTTTCTTACGCGTCCCCTGGTCGGTGGGGGTTGCGGAATTGGTAGGCGCGGCCGCGGCTCCGGAAGTGTTTGCCGGACTCGGATCCGCGGTCGGCCCTGAGCTGCTCACGGTGAGACGCGACAGCTGGGCTTCCAGGTCATTCACGCGCTCGTCCTTCTCAGCCAGCCTCCGGTCGCGATCTTCTAGCAGCCCCTCCAGCTCTTTCACCCGTCTCTGGGTCGCGGCCAGCTCTACGCCCAGCCTTGTGTTGTCCGCTTGTGAACGTGTCAGGTACTCAGTGAGGCAGGCCACTTGGTTCTGCGCGTCCATCCTGGTACTGACCTCCTGCATACACAGAACGCGAACGCGGAAAATGTGATTTGTACGCATGGACATGACAGCCGAACTAGTAACGCGAACAAACAGTATGCACCGCGGGCTGTGTCAGTGTAGGTGTGTTACGCTGAACTATGGCCAGCTGATTTGCCAATGAGACATCTGCTGCCCACCGCGCAAATTCCTCTGTCTGGCAGAGCGGGTTGTTGACCACGTACGGGTGTCGCGGCTGGTGTATGTAATACATGGCCAGGTCTTGTGCGACCGCCATCCTAGCCTCGCCATCCAGCTCCTTCAGTATGTTTAGCCCCGCGGTGTCCTGCTTCTCCGGCTTCTTCTCTTTGACCATCTTGCTGTTGTAATCATGGCACTGTGCAACACAACAACGCGATCGTTAGAGCGGAGCTTGCGGGTTATGTGGACTGATCGCGGTGTGTTGATACTACTATGCGCGGCCCACACATACCTGTTTCTGCCCTTTATCCGCGGCGGCCCAGGGGAAAATGTGCTTCCTCAGCAGCTTCTCCAGCGCCTCGCTCGGCAGTACAGCTGCGCGACCCAGGAAGTAGTCACCATCAACCCCTGTGAAGCCAGCCTTCAGGAGCACGGCCTCCCTCGGAATAGTTGTGAGGTAGTGCTTAGTCATCACGTCGATGAAGCGCCACCCCCCCAGTCTCGCCAGCTGATCGGAGGGCATTCCGTCCGCGGACGCGTGCTGCGCCCCCCCAGCCCTGGTCGCGTGAACCACACGCGAGCATGTGATTCCCGCGTCCCCCAGAATCTTCGCCGCCCAGTCGTGATGAGTTGTCGGCGGAATCTGCTTCTCGGTGCCCGCGCGAAGGGGGAAGAAGAGGTACTGGTCGTACCACGTCGAGGGTTCCGTGAAGTCGAGAGGGGGGGCTATGTCCCCGTAGAGGATGGGGACCAAGTCGTACACCCAGTGCACCCACAGCAGCGTGGCTCCGACCGCGCACAGAGTCCAGTCTATGTGTCTCACTGCCGAGATGTAGTTGAGCGAGAAGTCCTTGTTTGTCTTGCCCGTCCTGCACGCGCAGACAAACGCGAACGCTTTCCGCACTGGATCCGTCTCGGATTTTGCGCCGAGCTTCCACATCATCATGTCTGGAAGCTGGAGGTTTCTGATCGTGCAGCCGCGGGCTAGTGTGTGATGACCGAGGACGGTCATCGTGCGGATGCAGAGGTCGCGATGCAGTGCCTGGGTGTACTGTTGCTTGGCTAGTGTGAAGCTGCTCAAGATTGCGGACATGCTGGTCTTCCGCATCATCTTCTTGAACTCGTCCGGGTTGTACGTGTCCGCGGCCGTGCCCCGATGGCGATCCATGTGTTCCCTGCGCAACCAGTTGGACGAGACTGAGTATGCAGGTGAACGCGGTTTAGTTGGACATACGCGGTCAATGCGTGTGTAAACTTACGAGATAAACCGCTTGTATTGGTCGCGTACTTGAACGCGGACCCAGATGCGACACTCCGCAAAGTCGCGCAACAAATTCAGCACGGGCTTCCTGAAGATGGCCCCGTCCAGCTTGATGAGCATGTTCAGAGCCTTGAGACGCCCCATCAGCATTGCAGGGGAGCACTGGCGTCTCTTCTTCAGGGTCTTGTCGGGCCGCTTGAGCGTGGCCATCCTGTCCGCCTGTGCGACCGTCTCGTTCGCGAGGAAGGTCACGTATTTGCGTAACCTCCACGGATTCGTCTCAGGGCCGTGGAACCACTGCTCGTCGCCCTTGGCCATCTTCCAGTCACTACCCATGTTCTGCTCGAGCGCGGCCCCGATCTCGTCGGGGTTCGCGTTTTCCAACGCGGCCTCCTCACCGAACCTATTCGCGTCCAGTTTTGGCAGCTCGTGCGCCATGAAGAGCTTGTACTCTCTTGCCCAACCGCGATATTTCTTCAGCGTGGCCTCCGAGACACCGTAGAGGATGCCCATGCACACCTCTCTTTTCGCGGCCGGCGTGTCGTCCACGCCAAGCCTGTTCCAGTCCGCGATGGGGACCTCCAAGTCCGTTCGCGTACCCCGCACCCGTTCGTTATCTTCCGCCTCCCCCTTGTTGAGCGCGGACAGCGAGTTCGACAGGTAGTTTTCGTCATCGTCATTCCAACTGTCGTCCTCATCGTCAGCGTCGTCCTCGTCATCTTCGTCGCTTTCCCCCTCGCTCACCTCCATCGATCCGTCGCGTGCCGTGGGAGGCACGACTTCGACTCGCCGCCTCCTTACACGCGGTCTACTGACTGGCACGTTCCCGGTACCTCCGGTCGCGTTAACACCGGTACCTCTGCCTCCGTTGCCTACCACCCCAGGCGCTCTCCGCCCGTTCGCACTACCTCCGTTCCGTCCCACACCGGTCCCACGTCCCGCGCTCGCTCTCCCACCCCTTCCTCTCGCACCTCTCCCACTCTCACCTGCCCCTCTTCCCGCGTTCCCACTCGCACCAGTCCCTCTTCCTCTTCCCGCGTTTCCCCTTGCACCAGTCCCTCTCGCTCTTCCCGCGTTTCCTCCTGCACGCGCTCCTCGTCCCGCGTTCCCCGCGTAAGCATGTGGTTGTTCACCTACACCGTTCTCGTCCGCTGCGGTCGGGTGCGCGGGGGTGCGGATGTGGACGTCCGGGTTTCCCGGCAACAGCGAGTTCACGTTCCATATTGGCGGCGAATGTGCACGCGCACTTGCATCCATCCCCGCTCCAACATTCTCCGCACGCACTGAACCATCGGGAACCGCGACTGGGCCTTCTGCACGCGCATGGGTTTCCACGCCCATCACTAATGGTTCTATCCGGTCCCGCGGGGCTTGCACTGTTGCCTGGATTTCCGGATGATTCGTGCTGGGGAATGGGGTTGACGGCGTGACTGGAGGCGTCGCGACAGCCCCGGGCGCGTGCAGCATGGGGTCTGGCTGAACGCCTATGTACCCGTATCTGAATCCCACATTCCCATACTGCGGCCCTACGAAGCCACGCACGGGCATCCCAAAGAGCTGGCTTGAGGGAATGGACGCGGACGCGGTGTGTTCATCAATCTGTTGCCCGGGATGCGGCGTGGATATTCCACGCGAGTTCAAATCATCCTGCTGGGCATGAAACGCGACCGTTGACGATGCAAACGGTATCTGTGTCCGCGGTGCTAGGTGGAGCCCGTTGACCAGTTGCTGTGGATGGAACGCGGGCAAACGCGTCCCAAAAACCGCAGGCTGCACGTATGGGGTGCTCCATGTGGGGATGTGCGCGTGCATGTTATGTACGGGTGCGCTGGGCGGTTCGGCAGGATGGATTTGGGCCGCGGTAGTGTTGCCCGAAGCATTGAAGGAGGCGTCAAGTATCGGCGCCGCGACGCGATTCACGGTATGCATGCAGCGGGCGAAATTGCCCCTACTCCTATTTACTGCGTGCGTCAACATCATGCGCGATCTCTACTGGGACAACCGGGTGTGAAGATTACACCAGTACAACGCGACCGTTGTGCTCACTGACACTCGAACGCGGCCCACGTTGTTAACGCGGCCGTAGTCTGGTGAATCCAGTGTGGCATTAGAGGGAGGAGCTTGCTGTGCAACTGGCGTGCGGAAAGCGAAAATGTGGGCCTGATGGGAGTAATGACCGGTCACTGCGTGGACGTGCACGACACGTTACCCCGATCGCGTCTCGACCACACAGCGACAGCTGTGTGGCTCGTACAATTTGATGCACGTGTCAGCCTGCATGGAGCCTACCAGATCGCGCCAGGTGTTCCCAACCGAGTTCCGCATCGCGCTTTCCAAGCCTTTCCATGGGCGAACCGAGTTCGCGATATGATGCGGGACTTCGCAACCAGTGGTAGCGCTCCTTGTTTCCGCGATCGCGCAGTTGCATGCGAGGAATTCCCCGTCTGCCAATGTTACCGACCAATCGCGTTGGTTTTTTCCCGAGTCGCGAATGCACTGGCGCGTAAGAACGAGGTGGGTTCTTTCGGTTTTTGGGGGGGTCGCGGAGCTTTCGGTGGAAACCTGGTGGGTTTCAATGAGCCACGCAGGGCCGCGCAAGGTCCAAAACTGGTGGATTTCTGGAGGGCCGACTTTGCCTCACGCGTCCCCCGATGTCTCCGCGCCCCGTGCATCCCAAGGCGTGGGCGGGGTTTTTCCCGAGCCGCGCCGTATGAACATCCCAGAAAGTTCGAGGGGTTCGCTCGGTGGAGCCCGGAATTTGCTGCTGGCGCGAGTCACGCGGAAAACTCACAAAACCTCACGGAAACGTTCTATAACTCTGATTGTTCTGAAGCGTTCCAAATCGTATTGAAAACATCTGTGACTAAGACAATGGTGCTGGGTTTGTCCATGGTGGTCCCCGAGGTTAGTGACGTTCGTTTCAGGCGCCGGGACCCGCGCAAAACCACATGAAATCACCTGCAGGGGGAAACAGTATTCGCAACACTTCCATTACCAAAAAAACGTAGGCAGCATTACAAAATGTATGTATACCAAAACGCATACACTTCTCTTTGTAGGGACCATTTATGGTTGAAAGTAATACTGGTATTGGAATGTACAACTTACAATTTCATGGCGAGGCAGCGCCAGACGGCGTGGGAGAGGGGGGCATCGTGGAGGGGTTTGGAGAGGTAGTCATCCATGCCGACGACAAAGCACTGCTGGCGCGTGCCGGCAATCACATCCGCTGTGAGCGCAATGATGGCCACATGCCCCCCGCCCTCAGCCCTCTCCCGCGCTCGGATCCTCCGAGTCGCCTCCAGCCCGTCCATGCCCGGCATCTGCATGAGGAGGGGTGGGAGCGGGCGGGACAAGATTTAGATGTGAGAGTTGGGTTGCCTCCAGCGCATCCATGCCCGGCATCTGGGAGAGTGGGAGGGAGGGATGGGAGGGATGGGAGGGATCGAAGGCCTTGATGCTGCCATCCCTGTAGCTTAGGTCACATGGGCTGTCATGCTAATCCATGAGGACGAGGTGGAAGGGGTGATAGAACCACCTGAAAAACCATCTCCCCACCTGAAAGGCCACCTGATGTTTCTCTCAGCCTCCCTGCTCTCACCTGCAGGTCCATGAAAACCAGGTCGTAGGGATGGGGTGGGGCGAGGGCTTCAACTGCCTTGGCGCCGCCATCGACGGCGGTGACTCGCGCGTCGTGCCTCTCCAGCAGCTTGCTGGCCACCTTGCGGTTGATGAGGTTGTCATCCACCACCATCAGCCGCTTCCCCGCCAGCACACTCAGCCTCTCCGCAACTGTCGCTGGTTCTTGAGTCAGCTCAACCACCCCCTGCCCCTCCCCCTCTGTTGCCAACTCCCCTGTCGCAACTGCTGCTGCCCCTGCTGATGGCGGTGCTGCTGGGGGTGCAGCTGGTGGTGCTGGTGGTGCAGCAGCCACTGCAGCAGCAGCTGTCGCACCACCATAGCTTTGAGATGCAGAAGCAGAAGAAGAATCAACAGCGGCAGCAGCCGGTGGCAGTCCAGATGATGCTGGAGTGATCTCACATGACGTGCGTTTCTTCTGTTCCCGCCTTGTACCAGCTTCCATTGACTTGTTTGCGGCAGCATCACATGAAGACTCGCAGGGTTCACACGGAGCAACACTGCTGGAGGGTTTTCGAGGGGACAGCAGCTTCCATAGGCCCCTGTCCTTGCCACACCTCTCCCTGCTCCCTCGCAATCTGTTTTCCTCCTCCCTGCCTTCTCCCTCCTTTCCCCCTCCCTCTCTGTTTTCTCTTTGCCTGCTCTCTCCCTCCTTCCTTTCTCGCTCCCTGCTCTCATCCTCCCTGCTTCCACCCTCATTGCAATCACATTCAATATCGTCACAAGCACCACAGTCAACCTGCAAATTACCCAGCTTCCGAGGCTCACTGCTACAAGCAGGGTGCATCTCAAGGCCTGCATTCGGCTCAGCATCAGAACCCGAGCTTCTCACAGAGTCACCATGTAAGTGACGGCTGCTCACATGAGGCGAGTGCGACAATGCAGACCTCTGGAATTGCGGCAAGAAGAGGGGCAGCAAGGCGGCAGCAAGGGTGTTCCTCCGAAGCGGCTTCCGAACCACAGCGTCGAACCCGAGAGAGAGGAGGTACGGCACGGTGGTAACCGGTGAGGGCGACGCTCCTGGGGTGGCAGGTGCAGCGAATCTGGACACCACGTGCGTCTCGCTGCTGCTGCTGGCGGCTCGGCTGCAAGCAGGGGTGCTGTGATTGCGATTGCTATTGTTGTTGTTGTGGGTACCGTCAAGACTGGCGTTGTTGGCAGTGCTGCCGGAGTTGTCTTTCATTGCTGGAGTTACAGATGGTTGGACAAGGTCTGGCGCAAGAGACACCCAACCATGCAGCAGCACCAATGCTGGCCGCTCACGCCCACTCCCCCGCCTCTGCCCTGTCTGCTGCTGCTGCTGCTGCTCCTCTTCCTCCCCTTCCTCCTCTTTCTCCTGCCACTGCTGCTCCAGGGGAGAGAGCTGGGGCGACACGAGGGCAAGCAGCTGGTCTACATGCAGGCGGCAGCGGTTCATCATTTCCTCCTCCACCACCACTGCCACCACCCGACTCCTTGGCACCACCCGCTGCTGTTGTTGTTGCTGTTGCTGTGGTTGATTTTGCTCTTGCTGCTGCTCTTGCTCCCCCTGCTGCCGCAGCTGCTCTTCCTGCTTCTGCTGCTTTTGCTGATCCGCTTGCTGCTCTGCCTGCTGCATCTTCTGCTGCTCCTGCTGTTCCTCTTCCTCCTTCTCCTCCCCCGGCTGCGGCTGCTGCTGCTGCTGCTGTTGCTGCAGTTGGTGCTGCACCTGAGCCTCAGCCAAGCACTGCAGCAGCAGCGACGCTTTCGACTCAACCCTCGGCCCTTCCATGCTCACACTCACCACCTTGCCACTCGCAGTGCGCATCACACTCGACTGCACCGACTGCCGTGACTGCCTTGACCGCATAGAAAGCATTGACCCCATTGACCGCGTTGACTGGCTTGACTGCCACCCCTCCTCCACCACCCCATCCCTTGGTGCACATCCAAAGTTGTTGGCCCCATGCAGGCTGCACCCCACCCTGCCAGGCACACATTCCCCGAGGGGTGAGAGCCGGTGTGGACCCACTCCCCCTACTGACGACGCTCTTGCATGCCCATGAGCAGCTGAACCCACTGTGTAACCCGTACCAACTGTGAGCCCCGTCACACCTGTGCCACCAGGTGCAAAGCCCATGATATTCATGGCACCGGGTGCAGCAGAATCCGTGGCATATTTGCCCCCCGTGCCACTGGGTACAGAACCCCTGCCGCCCATGCCAGTAAGTGTAGAGACCTGTGGGCTGGAGGCAGGAGTGAGGGAGAGCGATGGGCCCCTAGCAGGGTGTGAGGGAAGGGACTGGGTGACAAGAGAAGGTTCGGGGAGGCGGTTGAGGGCACATGTCGGGCTGGACGGGAGGAGGGGAGGTTCGGGACGACGAGGTTCGGGACGGTGACCGAAGGTACACAAAGGGCTGGAGGGATCAGAAGGGGGGTCAAAGGAGAGAGAGGGGCTTGACGCTGGGTTGAAGGAGAGAGCGGGACTGGACGCGCCTTCTGCATACGCCCTCTCGGCTTGCTTCTGAAACACTTGCTTCTGCAAGGCTTGTTTCTGAAACGCCCTTTGGAGGCTTGGGAGGTCGTTGTGAGAGAGGGAAGGGGTGCGAGACAAGGAGGGGGAGAAGGAGGAGGTGGATGCTCGTTTTCTCTCCTTCTTTGTGGAGAGTGAGGAGGTGCGAGCTAACGAGGAGGGGGATAGTGGGTGCTTGGGATGGAGAGAAGGGTTGGAAGAAAGGTCGGGGGAGGAGGATGATTGGAGAGGGGGAGGTGAGGGGTGGGTGGGGACTAAAGATGGGTGGGGACGGTGGTGTTGTTGTTGGTGGTGGTGGTGGTGGGACTGCTTCTGGTGCTGCTCCTGTGGGTGGTCTGCAAAGAATCGGCAGATGGGGTTCCGAACAAGGCCAGCAGTAGGGGAGTCACCCACACCGGTGGCCCCTTGGAGCACAGCAGCCAGGGCAGCATCAGCAGCTGGGCTTACATCAGCAGAGCAAGGAGAGGCTGAGAGAGAGCGGGGCACGCAGGCCTTTTTTGCAGGGGATGCGTCCAGAGAGAATTCAGACCCTTGATCCAGAGAGCCCCTGGATCCAAGGGCTGTGATTGATGGGCTTCCAGGGGCTGTGGTTAATGAGCTTACACCGGTTTCCCTTGCACGTGCAGCTGCAGCAAGGGCAGTTTTCGCAGCGGTGGGCGGTGCAGAGGTGGCAGGGGAAGAGATGGAGCGCGGGAGAGAGGCCAGCCTGGGAGGCATGCTGCTGCCCATGGCTGTAGCAGCAGCTGAAGGGCCCGCAGTGGAAGGGAATGAAGCAAGAGAGATTGCAGCAGCAGGTGAAGGGATTGCAGCAGCAGAAGAGGCTGCAGCAGCGGCAGTAGGGGCAGAAGGAGAAGGAAACAAAGCAGACGTGGCAGCAGGAGCAGCAGCTAGAGAGGAAGAAGCAGGAGGTTGCGGGGCTAAAAAGGAAGGAATCAGACTGAGCGGGTGAGTGGCTGTGCGGTGGAGAGCGGTTGGGGGATCATGCGCAGCGGTGGAGGAGCGGTGGCGCCAGTAGTGCGGTGCGAAGCGCAGGAGAGGCTGACTCTTGGTCTTCTTGGAGGTGGGGTTGAGGAGAGGGACGCGAGACAGGGAGTCTTGAGACGTCTGGGCCCTATGGAGAGGAGGGACGAGAGGAGGGACGAGAGAGAACGATGATGAGTCCTCCTCGGGTGTCCCTCCTCTTCCAAAAGAGAATGTTTTCTTTCTCTTCGCTGCTCCTGCTGCTGCTACACTCGCTGCTGTTGCTCCTCCTGCTGCTGCTGCGGCTGCTGTTGCTGTTGGTGCTGCAGTCGTTGCTATATCGGATGCTGATTCATGTACGTCTGCTGATGCAGATTCAGGAGCAGCTGTTTCAGCAGCCGGTGGGAGGCCGTAGTGGTGTTGGGCGAGGAGGCGGGGGAGGAGGTGGAAGGAGGGGCAGGGGAGGGTGCAGAAGCCAAGGCGGCGCAGCAGAGAGAGAGTGACAGCATGCCGCACCGCCCGGTCGTCCACACTCACCACAACCACGCCCTCCCATTCCGATGCCTTTTGAGCCGACTCACAAGTCACCGCCCGCTCGTCCACACTCACCACAACCACGCCTTCTAGTGCACACCCCCTCCCATCATTCCCACTGCTCAGCACACACACACCCATCTCACTCCCAGCAACTGTTCCACCACCAGCAGCCACTGCAACAGCAGAAGCAGAGCAAGCAACAGCAGCAGCAGCTGGTGTGGAGAAAAGCCCAGAAGCAGCAGGCGAGATGGTGCGAGGCAGCAGAGGCATAGAGGGAGCGAGAGGAGGAGGAGGGCAGGGCGCTGGGCAGGAATGCGCAGAGGGGGCAGGGCAAGAAGGAGGGCAAGGAGGGCAAGGTGGAAGGCAAGGAGGAGCGCAAGGAGGAGGGCAAGGAGGAGGGCAAGGAGGAGGGCAGCAGGGCGGGCAGGGCAGTGGGGTGGAGGGAGTGTCAGCAGGAGGGGTGTGGAGGGTGATATCGAAGTAGAAGGTGGTGCCCACGCCTGGCTCGCTGGTGAATGCGATGCTGCCTCCCATGAGCGATACAAGGCGCTGTACAGCAGACGAGGCATGCAGCAAGGGGGAAGGGGAGCACAGGAGAAGGAAGCATGAGAGGAGGTACGAGAGTTGATGTTGGAGTAGAAGGTGGTGCCCACACCCAGCTCGCTGGTGAATGCGATGCTGCCTCCCATGAGCGACACGAGGCGTGCAGGGGATGGAGGGGGCATGGGGTTGGATGGGGTGCAACGAGGGAGAAGGGAGGAAGTGGGGAGTGTGCAGAAGTGAAAAAAAAAAAAAAAAAAAAAAAAAAAAAAAAAAAAAAGGTGAGTGGTGGACTGGCAGTGCGCCTGGCAGGTGGAGTGGCCAGGTTGTCACCCCCATGGCCGAAGGCGGGTGGTGAATTAAAAGCGAGAGGCGAACTCAAACCCATTGACAACGCACCTTGCAGATGGAGAGGCCGATGCCTGTCCCGCCGTGCAGGCGAGTGGTGCTAGCATGAGCCTGTGAGTACGGCTGGAACATGCGCCTCTGAGCCGCCATGGGGATGCCCTCTCCTGTATCTTCCACCGCCAGCATCAGCCGCACCGCCTGGCCTCCACCCGCTGCCTGCATTTGACAACTCTCTGTAACGCCCTGCACCGCCTGCCCCCCGAAAGCAGTGCCAGCACCAGTGCCAGTGCCTGTGCCAGCACCAGCACCAGTGCCGGTGCCTATGCCAGTGCCGCTGCCGGTGCCAACGGTGTGGAGGTCCACAGAGCCGCCCATGGCCTCCCAGGAGCACCACGTGCGCACTGCTGGCCGCCCACTCAGCGTCTGTGCTGCTGCTGCTGCTGCTGCTGCTGCTGCTGCTGCTGCTGCTGCTGCTGCTGCTGCTGCTGCTGCTGCTGCTGCTGCTGCTGCTGCTGCTGCTGCTGCTGCTGCTGCTGCTGCTGCTGCTGCTGCTGCTGCTGCTGCTGCTGCTGCTGCTGCTGCTGCTGCTGCTGCTGCTGCTGCTGCTGCTGCTGCTGCTGCTGCTGCTGCTGCTGCTGCTGCTGCTGCTGCTGCTGCTGCTGCTGCTGCTGCTGCTGCTGCTGCTGCTGCTGCTGCTGCTGCTGCTGCTGCTGCTGCTGCTGCTGCTGCTGCTGCTGCTGCTGCTGCTGCTGCTGCTGCTGCTGCTGCTGCTGCTGCTGCTGCTGCTGCTGCTGCTGCTGCTGCTGCTGCTGCTGCTGCTGCTGCTGCTGCTGCTGCTGCTGCTGCTGCTGCTGCTGCTGCTGCTGCTGCTGCTGCTGCTGCTGCTGCTGCTGCTGCTGCTGCTGCTGCTGCTGCTGCTGCTGCTGCTGCTGCTGCTGCTGCTGCTGCTGCTGCTGCTGCTGCTGCTGCTGCTGCTGCTGCTGCTGCTGCTGCTGCTGCTGCTGCTGCTGCTGCTGCTGCTGCTGCTGCTGCTGCTGCTGCTGCTGCTGCTGCTGCTGCTGCTGCTGCTGCTGCTGCTGCTGCTGCTGCTGCTGCTGCTGCTGCTGCTGCTGCTGCTGCTGCTGCTGCTGCTGCTGCTGCTGCTGCTGCTGCTGCTGCTGCTGCTGCTGCTGCTGCTGCTGCTGCTGCTGCTGCTGCTGCTGCTGCTGCTGCTGCTGCTGCTGCTGCTGCTGCTGCTGCTGCTGCTGCTGCTGCTGCTGCTGCTGCTGCTGCTGCTGCTGCTGCTGCTGCTGCTGCTGCTGCTGCTGCTGCTGCTGCTGCTGCTGCTGCTGCTGCTGCTGCTGCTGCTGCTGCTGCTGCTGCTGCTGCTGCTGCTGCTGCTGCTGCTGCTGCTGCTGCTGCTGCTGCTGCTGCTGCTGCTGCTGCTGCTGCTGCTGCTGCTGCTGCTGCTGCTGCTGCTGCTGCTGCTGCTGCTGCTGCTGCTGCTGCTGCTGCTGCTGCTGCTGCTGCTGCTGCTGCTGCTGCTGCTGCTGCTGCTGCTGCTGCTGCTGCTGCTGCTGCTGCTGCTGCTGCTGCTGCTGCTGCTGCTGCTGCTGCTGCTGCTGCTGCTGCTGCTGCTGCTGCTGCTGCTGCTGCTGCTGCTGCTGCTGCTGCTGCTGCTGCTGCTGCTGCTGCTGCTGCTGCTGCTGCTGCTGCTGCTGCTGCTGCTGCTGCTGCTGCTGCTGCTGCTGCTGCTGCTGCTGCTGCTGCTGCTGCTGCTGCTGCTGCTGCTGCTGCTGCTGCTGCTGCTGCTGCTGCTGCTGCTGCTGCTGCTGCTGCTGCTGCTGCTGCTGCTGCTGCTGCTGCTGCTGCTGCTGCTGCTGCTGCTGCTGCTGCTGCTGCTGCTGCTGCTGCTGCTGCTGCTGCTGCTGCTGCTGCTGCTGCTGCTGCTGCTGCTGCTGCTGCTGCTGCTGCTGCTGCTGCTGCTGCTGCTGCTGCTGCTGCTGCTGCTGCTGCTGCTGCTGCTGCTGCTGCTGCTGCTGCTGCTGCTGCTGCTGCTGCTGCTGCTGCTGCTGCTGCTGCTGCTGCTGCTGCTGCTGCTGCTGCTGCTGCTGCTGCTGCTGCTGCTGCTGCTGCTGCTGCTGCTGCTGCTGCTGCTGCTGCTGCTGCTGCTGCTGCTGCTGCTGCTGCTGCTGCTGCTGCTGCTGCTGCTGCTGCTGCTGCTGCTGCTGCTGCTGCTGCTGCTGCTGCTGCTGCTGCTGCTGCTGCTGCTGCTGCTGCTGCTGCTGCTGCTGCTGCTGCTGCTGCTGCTGCTGCTGCTGCTGCTGCTGCTGCTGCTGCTGCTGCTGCTGCTGCTGCTGCTGCTGCTGCTGCTGCTGCTGCTGCTGCTGCTGCTGCTGCTGCTGCTGCTGCTGCTGCTGCTGCTGCTGCTGCTGCTGCTGCTGCTGCTGCTGCTGCTGCTGCTGCTGCTGCTGCTGCTGCTGCTGCTGCTGCTGCTGCTGCTGCTGCTGCTGCTGCTGCTGCTGCTGCTGCTGCTGCTGCTGCTGCTGCTGCTGCTGCTGCTGCTGCTGTGCTGCTTTTTCGCTTCTGTCTTCCTCTCTCAAAGCGTGCCGGCGATAGTGGTGGGAGCCGTGATGAGAGTCGTGATGGGAGTGGTGATGGAAGGACACAGATAGCTCTTCGAGCATGCTCCTCCAGTGGCGGTCGGGATCGCTGCTGCGGCCGCGATGGTGCGAACGAGAGTGGTGGTGGTGGTGGTGGCTGCGGTGGAGGGAGGCAGAGGCGGAGGAGGCGAGGGAGTGGACGGTGTCGTCAGGCAGAGCGAGGCGGATGACGATGAAGATGTGCCCCGTGCTCGTGAACTTGAACGCGTTGCTTATCAGGTTCATCAGGATCTGCCCGGGGGAATGGGGGGGTAGGGGAGTGGGGCAGGGGGCAGGGGCAGTGGTGGCGAATGACGATGAAGATGTGACCCGTGCTCGTGAACTTGAACGCATTGCCTTTCAGGCTCATGAGGATCTGTGGCGGATCACCAGGTGGGTTGGCGGGAGAGAAAAGAGGGGACGGAGGGAGTGGGGGAAGGGGCAAGGGCAGTGGTGGCGAACTTGAACCACAGCGGTGGCGAACTTGAACCACAGTGGTGGTTCTAAATGCAATTCAAGAATATTCAAAAGTTGGACGGGCGGGGGAGAGAGGGAGAAGGCGGGAGGGGGGGCACGCACGCTGACCCGCCCGCCCGCATGCGCGCATATGGAAAGCACTTGGAAGTGCCCCTATCGCTCACCTGTCGTATGCGGAGCAGATCCCCCACAAGCATCTCCGGCACATCGTCCGCCACAAATGCGGCGAGCTTCACAGAGCGCTTCTCCTGGGCGATCTCCACAAAGAGTGCCAAGCCAACACGTCATCCAGCTCGGCGAGCAGGTTGAGAGGGATGCTCTCAAGGCGGAGCTCCTCGGCCTCGATCTTGGAGGTCGAGAATGCATCAAGGAAAAGAGTATTCAGCGTGAGTGACCCCTTGGCTCACCTGTCGTATGCGCAGCGGATCCCCAACGAGCGTCTCAGGCACGTCATCAGCCACGAAGGCAGCCAGCTCCACCGACCTCTTCTCTTCAGCGCTCTCCACAAAGAGTGCTAACACATCGTCGACCTCAGCGCGCAGGTTGAGGGGGATGCGCTCGAGGCGGAGCTTCTCGGCCTCGATCTTGGAGAGGTCGAGAATGTCGTTGATCAGCGCACACAGCGCCCGCCCGCTGCTGCACGCCGTCTCCGCGTAGTCCTGCTGGGAGCTGTCCAGTGGGGTCTCCAGTAGGAGGTTCAGCATGCCTGGTGGACGGAGGGTGGAGCAAGGAAGTGGGAGAAGGTGGGATTGAGATCGTCTCCGCACAGTCCTGCTGGGAGGGAGCTGTCCAGAGGGGTTTCTTTTCAGCAGATTCAGCACACACACACACGTACCTATGACCCCGTTTGGGGGTGCGGATCTCATGGCTCATGGTGGTGAGAAAGTCACTTTTAGCCCGACTCGCTGCCTCCGCTGCAACCTTAGCCGTCGCCAGCTCTGCCTGAGCCGATTCCACTCTCAGCATGTCGGTCTCAAGCCTGGCGATAAGGTGCCAGTCTCTGATAAGACCTGTTTGAGGCAGGCACCTAGTATGTACCCACCACGTACGTACCAATAACGCCGTTCATGGGGGTGCGGATCTCGTGGCTCATGGTGGTGAGGAAGTCGCTCTTCGCCCGACTTGCTGCCTCTGCCGCCACCTTGGCCGTGGCCAGCTCTGCCTGCGCCGCCTCCACTCTCAGCGTGTCTGTTTCAAGCTTGGCCATGAGGTGCACGGACATCCAGAGCACCAGCACTGTGATCGCCAGGATGATGAACGACACCACCATCCACACGAATGGCGGGCTTGGCTTTGCATTGGCCTCGGGCCTGCAATGGAGAGAGCAGGGTGGGGGGATGAGTGGGGAAGACGGGGTTTTGGGCAGGGAGCGAGGGGGTAGAGGTTGGCTGTGGAGAGCTGGGCCTGTGCTGACACCACTCTCAGGGTGTCGGTTTGGAGCTTGGCCATGAGGTGCACGGCCATCCAGAGCACCAGCACGGAGATCGCCAGGATGATGAACGACACCACCATCCACACGAATGGCGGGCTTGGCTTCGCGTTCGCCTCGGGTCTGGAGGGAGAACGGGGGGGGTTCGTGGTGGGGGAGAAGGGGGGTTTGGGTGGATGGAAAGGGAATGGGGGTTGTGGGGCGGGCTTGGCTTCGCATTCGCCTCGGGTCTGGGAGGGGGAACGGGGGGGTTTGTGGTGGGGGAAAAACGGGGGTATGGGTGGGCGTAAGGGGATGGAGCTTGAATGATGAACGACACCACCATCCACACAAACGGCGGGCTTGGCTTGGAGTTCGCCTCGGGTCTGGGAGGGGGAACGGGGGGGTTCGTGGTGGGGGAGAAGGGGGGTTTGGGTGGGTAGTAAGGGGATGGAGGTTGTGGGGCTGGCTTGGCTTCGCATTCGCCTCGGGTCTGGCATGTTAGGAGATCGGGGATTAGGAGACAGAAAGAGGTATTTACGAGAAAATTTTAAGGCACTTAAAGGCGGGTCCAGTGGCGCTTAGAAGGGCCTTAAGGCGGCAATGTAAGCACTCGCAAACAAGCTCTGAGGTCCGCATGTAACCATCAAACACTGGGTACCCTGCGGTACTCCACGCACAAAGTGAGACGATTCTCCAGACGAGTGAAGGATCGGCACATGGAATGAGCAACACTGAAGCCCAGGTGGGGTAACCCACTCACTCGCAGACAAGCACGAAGTTCCGTGACGGGTCGCCGAACCACATGGGGTACTGAACACGCCCTTGGTACTGCACCACTCGTCTCTTATACGCCACCGCCGCCCACACTCCCGCCTGCTTCCCCGTCATCCCCTCCGTCCCTTCCGGCCCAAACAGCAGCTCGGGGTTGCTCTCGTTGGTCGCATCTACAAGGAATGTGCGGAGAGGAAGGGCTTTAAGTTGGTCGAAGTTGGGGGCGAGACGGAGCGTGTGGAAGGAGTAGGCTGCTACGAAGAAGCCGTGGGGTTTGGTGAGTGCGTCGAGGGAGTCGGGCTCGTAGCTCTGCGGTTCAGGAAGGCCACTGCTGCTGCCACTGCTGCTGCCGGTGCTGTTGCCGATGGAGGGAGCAGCAGAGGGGACGTGCACGAAGGCGTGGCCGTGCTGGTGCGTGTCGTACACGGGGAAGGCCTGAGCCACCACATGGAAGGGCGATGCGGGCGACAAGATGGGCGGTGACATGGCGCCGCTGTGCCCCGTGTCTGCTGCTCGAATCATGGCTGCTAGCATGGGGTCTGCGGGAGAGGGGAGAGGGGGTGGGGGAAAGGTGGGAAGTGGTGGGAATTGGTGATGTGATGGAGGTGGTGGAGGCAGGAGAGCGAATGTGCACGAACACATGGTGCTGCTGTGCCCCGTGTCTGCTGCTAGAATAATGGCTGCTAGCAAGGGGTCGGGGGAATGGGGAGGGCGAAACGGGGGAGGGATGGGAAGTGGTGAGATGCGGTGATGAGATGGGAGGTGAGCTGGCGACGCTGCGCCCCGTGTCTGCTGCTCGGATCATGGCTGCTAGCGTGGGGTGGTGGGGGAAGCGGAAGGGGGATTGGGAGGGGTGGAAAGAGGTGGAAATTGGTGATGGGTGGGGCAGCGGTGGAGGCAGCAGTGGGGACTTGCATGAAGACATGGCACTGCAGTACCCCCTGTCTGCTGCTCTGATCATGGCTGCTAGCATGGGGTGTAGGGGAAGGGGATGGGGGTTCGGGGTGGGGTGTAAAGCGGTGGAAATTGGTGATGGAATGGGCGGTGGTGGAGGCAGCAGAGGAGACGTGCAGGAAGACATGGCACTTACCGGAGAGACGGCATGCGCCCACGGCGGTGTGGTTGGGGGAGAGGGCGCACGCTCAGGCCTTCGCTTCTGGTGCCCAGCAGCATCTTGCTTTGTCAACTCAAAACTTGACTCACCTGAGAGCAGGTCCGCGCCGGCACCGGTGCGGTTGGGGGGGAGGCGGCGCACGCTGCTCCCCTCGCCGCTGGTGCCCAGCAGCAGCGGCACGTACAGCGGCAGGCCGAGCGGGCGGCAGGCAAACTCCTCGCTCAGAGCGATGAGGCAACCCTGCAGGCGCTCCTCCACGTGGTGGCGGAGGGCTGAGCTGTTGACTCGGAGAGCGTAGCCCACAACTGTAGGAGAAGGA